TGTCTGTACGACATTGTGTAGATGTAGACCCTGGTATATATTGGTGACAGTTCTGATTAAGTCTGTTTGTACGACATTGTGTAGATGTAGACCCTGGTATATATTGGTGACAGTTCTGATTAAGTCTGTCTGTATGCGACATTGTGTAGATGTAGACCCTGGTATATATTGGTGACAGTTCTGATTATGTCTGTCTGTACGACATTGTGTAGATGTAGACCCTGGTATATATTGGTGACAGTTCTGATTAAGTCTGTCTGTATGACATTGTGTAGATGTAGACCCTGGTATATATTGGTGACAGTTCTGATTAAGTCTGTTTGTACGACATTGTGTAGATGTAGACCCTGGTATATATTGGTGACAGTTCTGATTAAGTCTGTTTGTAATGACATTGTGTAGATGTAGACCTTGGTATATATTGGTGACAGTTCTGATTAAGTCTGTGTCTGTACCGACATTGTGTAGATGTAGACCCTGGTATATATTGGTGACAGTTCTGATTATGTCTGTCTGTACGACATTGTGTAGATGTAGACCTTGGTATATATTGGTGACAGTTCTGATTAAGTCTGTTTGTAACGACATTGTGTAGATGTAGACCCTGGTATATATTGGTGACAGTTCTGATTATGTCTGTCTGTGCGACATTGTGTAGATGTAGACCCTGGTATATATTGGTGACAGTTCTGATTAAGTCTGTTTGTACGACATTGTGTAGATGTAGACCCTGGTATATATTGGTGACAGTTCTGATTAAGTCTGTCTGTGCGACATTGTGTAGATGTAGACCCTGGTATATATTGGTGACAGTTCTGATTATGTCTGTCTGTACGACATTGTGTAGATGTAGACCCTGGTATATATTGGTGACAGTTCTGATTATGTCTGTCTGTATGCGACATTGTGTAGATGTAGACCCTGGTATATATTGGTGACAGTTCTGATTATGTCTGTCTGTACGACATTGTGTAGATGTAGACCCTGGTATATATTGGTGACAGTTCTGATTAAGTCTGTTTGTAACGACATTGTGTAGATGTAGACCCTGGTATATATTGGTGACAGTTCTGATTAAGTCTGTTTGTGCGACATTGTGTAGATGTAGACCTTGGTATATATTGGTGACAGTTCTGATTATGTCTGTCTGTACGACATTGTGTAGATGTAGACCCTGGTATATATTGGTGACAGTTCTGATTAAGTCTGTCTGTACGACATTGTGTAGATGTAGACCCTGGTATATATTGGTGACAGTTCTGATTAAGTCTGTTTGTACCGACATTGTGTAGATGTAGACCCTGGTATATATTGGTGACAGTTCTGATTATGTCTGTCTGTACGACATTGTGTAGATGTAGACCCTGGTATATATTGGTGACAGTTCTGATTATGTCTGTTTGTACGACATTGTGTAGATGTAGACCCTGGTATATATTGGTGACAGTTCTGATTATGTCTGTCTGTACGACATTGTGTAGATGTAGACCCTGGTATATATTGGTGACAGTTCTGATTATGTCTGTCTGTACGACATTGTGTAGATGTAGACCCTGGTATATATTGGTGACAGTTCTGATTATGTCTGTCTTATGCGACATTGTGTAGATGTAGACCTTGGTATATATTGGTGACAGTTCTGATTATGTCTGTCTGTACGACATTGTGTAGATGTAGACCTTGGTATATATTGGTGACAGTTCTGATTAAGTCTGTCTGTACGACATTGTGTAGATGTAGACCCTGGTATATATTGGTGACAGTTCTGATTAAGTCTGTCTGTACGACATTGTGTAGATGTAGACCTTGGTATATATTGGTGACAGTTCTGATTAAGTCTGTCTGTACGACATTGTGTAGATGTAGACCTTGGTATATATTGGTGACAGTACTGATTAAGTCTGCAGATGTGTAGTTCCATTTGGGTTGTCCAAACAGCATGGCACTTCAGTAGGCAGCTAAACTGCATACAATACAATGATTACTGCTTAGTTGCTGTCAGCCATATTGGTACAGAGGTACAGATGAGCTGCGTATCTGCGTAAATTACGCAATTATCTATGTGAAAACTCAATTCCTATTAAGTCTATTGCGTACAAGTACGCTTGAAGTTTTGTAAGTACTCAATAAATTTGATCTTGCGTGTGTACACACAAAAATGTTGAATCATAGCTTGCGTACTGGTGCATAGATAAAATAACTGAAGTATATACAGAGGTTCTATTTCAACGCATGAACTTGGCAGCTTGCCGTCTTCCTTATCGTTTCTCATATTACAGATCTTATAGAAATAACATTTAAACTTTATTATATTTTTACAATTATTGGAACTTGGAAAAATACCCAATTGAGTTTGAGTGAGGTGAGTACAATTTATGTGGTTACCGAAAGGAAAATTAGCATTCCCAACTGAGATGAACACAAGCGAGTACATAACTCAATAACCCCAAAAGTTATCTGTAGCTCTGTTTGTGTATTTGTCATCATTCACTTGTTCAGTTAATCAATTTATAACAGGCATAATTTGCAGTAACATCACCCAGATTGGCTGACAGAGGTTGCCATTTAGCAGTCCTGGTGTTTGTGGTAAATACTTAACCTTATCAATTCAGGTCTGATGTATGACATGTTAATAAGCATGTGGAATCACAGCAGAGGAAGTATCAACTGATAATACATTGATTCATTAATCAGTTGTCAGAAAGTAGTGTGTAGGTTTACTTACTCAGACAGAATAGACCCACATCCTGTCGTAAAGTTCCACTGTAAAAATAACTTCCTTTGCTCAAAGGATTAATCAATAATATGTTTATTAATTGCACATTCTTCATTCAATCCAAATATTTTTAATCACTGGGAGATGAAAGTAAACTTGAAAATGTTTGGAACTGTTATCATATCAAACTGGATGGACATATTTTGTTGGCAGTTTGTTAAATAACTGAAATATTAAGGGGTCACTAAGATTTAATACATTTACCATTTATTCAAAGACTGAGCTGTTTTTCAACTTTGTTGAACTATGACTCTTTGAGTGATTTAATGTAACTGTCAAAATGAGGAAGGAAGTGGTCATTGTGGGATCTACTGTGCTCTAGTCATCCTTGGTAACTACTGATGAACAGACAAAACATTATTCATGTTTAAGAAAACATTATAATTTCTCTATGGATAATGAATACAGTTGGTGACTCTTCATAATCTATGGCTGGGGGGTGATGATGATTGTTATGGAGAAGCATGTACAATGTGAATGACACCCCACCCCACCCACCCACCCCTAAAATGTGTGTACAAAGTAAGTCCCCCACGCACCCACACACACATGTCCTGTACAAAATCAATGACCACCCCCACCCCCATAATGTTTAAGCATAACTTTTAATATTTTCATGTACAAAATCCTGACATCCCCTAGTACCTGTGTACAAAATTGATGACCCACTTAACTCCCTAGAACAAAATGAAAGTGACCCCGGCCATTTTACTAGCTGTATTTACAATTACACACACAGAGACCCACTCACTCACGCATGCACGCATGCACACACATGTGTATGTCATTCAGATTCATTTAGAGACATGAAACATGATCCTGTTTTGGATTGGACTCAGTGCATGTGGGAACACTTGCAGCTACACTGTGAATATACAACCCCACTGACAGACATTACCAAGCTGCCCACACATACATGGTTGTATGATGAGATATTACATACATGGTTAATAACTGTACAGAGTTAGATACTGACAAGATATGTATGCTGATGGTTCAAATCAAAGATACACTTACAATACTGGACTTGTGAACACCAAACCATGATCATAGATTCTCAAACTACGAAGTTTCTCTGTCCTGCACCAATGCAACTGTCCTGCCTTATGGAAGTGACACCCTGGTACATTGTAAATGAATTACACTCTCACTATTCATCAGGAAAGTAGTACTGTCGTTTTTTAAATCAACGGCAAAGGGAATTACATGTGAAAAAGGTAAGTATTCCTTGCTTGCATTAAGTCAAGTTTCAACTATGCATTTATATCTAGCATTGACTGAAAACAAGACAGCCTCCCTGCTCATATCCCTCCTTGTAATTAACAGGTGATAGTAAACATGGTCAATGAAAATGTGAAAATTGCCGTACAAAGTCTGTTAGCAAAGTCTAAAATGTACTTTCTGTTACATATTGTCATGCATTGCCATGTATTGCCTGATATGCAGAGACTAAGATTACCATGTGTATTTGTTTCAAAAAATAAGACGGAAATAGAATTAGCTGTAAACACATTTTCCCCCCAAGTACAAGTGGTTCAGTTATGAAGTACCCAATCATATGGAAGTAGGATGCGGTGATTGGTGTGGAACAGTTTGTCCCATCACCACTGATGCTTTGTGCAAAAACATCATGCTGAGAAATATAAGTAAAACTACAACAAATATGACTTTCCCTGTGAAAGTAGGATTTATATGTAACTGTATCAACTGAGATATGTTTCCAGGATCAATAGTGGTAATCACATCGCAGTTGCTGTATACAGCCATTGGTTGATGTGATTTTCTGATCAGTTCACACAAGCTTTCAGTGAAATAAACATAAGCACTATAGACTGAAACACAGGAGACACTTCTCATAGTTGACAAGTTCAATGTTAAAAACAACTTACATGATTCTTCACCGCCATATGTAGCTGTTGTAACAAGTACATTGTCAGTAGTCTTTCAAACACATACAAGAAATTTGTTTTGAATGTCCAGTGAGATTTTATGGTGCCCATCGTTATTTGATTGGATTATGCTTTGATTGAGTATGTTTTGAGTAAATTTTTTGGATGAAATTTTGTATATTCTAAAGTTACACTTGGGTTTAAGAGCAGTAACCATTTGTATTGAGTTGCACGGGGTGGGAAGGGTTGGAGGGGAGGAGTCACCTCTTGCATCAATTTCAAGATCATCAGTATTTCCTTCAGTTCTTTAACCCTGTTCCCGTCCTCCTTTCCAGGTTGTTGTTGCTGCAGCCACGGAGCTGTCTAAACCGTCTCCATCCTTTGAGCAAGCAGCACACCGTAAGGTGGAGGAGATGCCGCACTCCAGCCAGGCTGATGGTGCTTCATGGAGGGATATCGTGGAGAAAAGGATAGAATCCAAGACGCGAAGGTTTGCCAGAGGCCGCTCACAACCCTTGCCGCAGCCTGTGACCAACAAGTTTGCACCAGTGGCCGGACACTTCTTCTACCCCCTTATGAAAAACTTTGACAGGTGTGTGGTCTCACAGTTATCTTCAGGCTACATTTCCAATGTTAGAGCTAAATATATACATCCAATATTGTCACTCAAGTATTCACCTAATAATGTTTGTAGCTTGAGAATGAGTAATGACAAACTGGTAACAGGAGGCCGGTGAGCCATGTATGTTGAGCAGTGCCAAGGTTTATTATGTTTACCTATCAGATGGGGATAACATGGCAATAGTTAAACAAGTGCTTGTGTTCATCTGTTCATCTTGTAGCACCCTTACTTGTAATTATGATGACATACATTACAGGAAGGAGAACACGTTTGATCTTCTTGGCGAGGACACCCTTGTGCTGGGGAGACTGGTGTACAGTCTAGGCATGATCCTGTATGCTGCCCTACATGCTCCGGTAAGTGTGGTGCTAGGGAGACTGGTGTACAGTCTAGGCATGATCCTGGACGCTGCCCTACATGCTCCGGTAAGTGTGGTGCTGGGGAGACTGGTGTACAGTCTAGGCATGATCCTGTACGCTGCCCTACATGCTCCGGTAAGTGTGGTGCTAGGGAGACTGGTGTACAGTCTAGGCATGATCCTGTATGCTGCCCTACATGCTCCGGTAAGTGTGGTGCTAGGGAGACTGGTGTACAGTCTAGGCATGATCCTGTATGCTGCCCTACATGCTCCGGTAAGTGTGGTGCTGGGGAGACTGGTGTACAGTCTAGGCATGATCCTGTATGCTGCCCTACATGCTCCGGTAAGTGTGGTGCTAGGGAGACTGGTGTACAGTCTAGGCATGATCCTGTATGCTGCCCTACATGCTCCGGTAAGTGTGGTGCTAGGGAGACTGGTGTACAGTCTAGGCATGATCCTGTATGCTGCCCTACATGCTCCGGTAAGTGTTGTGTTGGGGGAGACTGGTGTACAGTCTAGGCATGATCCTGTATGCTGCCCTACATGCTCCGGTAAGTGTGGTGCTGGGGAGACTGGTGTACAGTCTAGGCATGATCCTGTATGCTGCCCTACATGCTCGGTAAGTGTGGTGCTAGGGAGACTGGTGTACAGTCTAGGCATGATCCTGTATGCTGCCCTACATGCTCCGGTAAGTGTGGTGCTAGGGAGACTGGTGTACAGTCTAGGCTGTATGCTGATCCTGGTGCTAGGGAGACTGGTGTACCCTGACATGCTGCCCTACATGGTAAGTGTGGTGCTAGGGAGACTGGTGTACAGTCTAGGCATGATCCTGTATGCTGCCCTACATGCTCCGGTAAGTGTGGTGCTGGGGAGACTGGTGTACAGTCTAGGCATGATCCTGTATGCTGCCCTACATGCTCCGGTAAGTGTGGTGCTAGGGAGACTGGTGTACAGTCTAGGCATGATCCTGTATGCTGCCCTACATGCTCCGGTAAGTGTGGTGTAGGGAGACTGGGGAGACTGGTGTACAGTCTAGGCATGATCCTGTATGCTGCCCTACATGCTCCGGTAAGTGTGGTGCTAGGGAGACTGGTGTACAGTCTAGGCATGATCCTGTATGCTGCCCTACATGCTCCGGTAAGTGTTGTGTTGGGGGAGACTGGTGTACAGTCTAGGCATGATCCTGTATGCTGCCCTACATGCTCCGGTAAGTGTGGTGGAGACTGGTGTACAGGGAGACTGGTGTACAGTCTAGGCATGATCCTGTATGCTGCCCTACATGCTCCGGTAAGTGTTGTGTGGTTGGGGAGACTGGTGTACAGTCTAGGCATGATCCTGTATGCTGCCCTACATGCTCCGGTAAGTGTGGTGCTGGGGAGACTGGTGTACAGTCTAGGCATGATCCTGTATGCTGCCCTACATGCTCGGTAAGTGTTGTGTTGGGGGAGACTGGTGTACAGTCTAGGCATGATCCTGTATGCTGCCCTACATGCTCCGGTAAGTGTGGTGCTGGGGAGACTGGTGTACAGTCTAGGCATGATCCTGTACGCTGCCCTACATGCTCCGGTAAGTGTTGTGTTGGGGGAGACTGGTGTACAGTCTAGGCATGATCCTGTACACTGCTGCCCTACATGCTCCGGTAAGTGTGGTGCTGGGGAGACTGGTGTACAGTCTAGGCATGATCCTGTATGCTGCCCTACATGCTCGGCAAGTGTGGTGATGGGGAGACTGTTGTACAGTCTAGGCATGATCCTGTACGCTGCCCTACATGCTCCGGTAAGTGTGGTGATGGGGAGACTGGTGTACAGTCTAGGCATGATCCTGTATGCTGCCCTACATGCTCCGGTAAGTGTTGTGTTGGGGGAGACTGGTGTACAGTCTAGGCATGATCCTATACGCTGCCCTACATGCTCCGGTAAGTGTGGTGTTGGGGAGACTGGTGTACAGTCTAGGCATGATCCTGTACGCTGCCCTACATGCTCCGGTAAGTGTGGTGATGGGGAGACTGGTGTACAGTCTAGGCATGATCCTGTACGCTGCCCTACATGCTCTGGTAAGTGTGGTGTTGGGGAGACTGGTATATAGTCTTGGCAGGATGCTATATATGCTTGTCTTACTCCTTGTCTTTAGATAGGGATAGACAAAGTGCTCAGTGGACCACCAACACTACCATGAAATGCTGACTTGGCACATTCTTGTTACTGTACATTGTTTATGCACAACCAGTGCTTAGTGTGTGATTTGCAGATACCATAAACCTACTGCAGATTGACTTCCATACTAGAGTGTTCCTGGATCTAGCGTAGGGATTTTGGAATGCTAGGGGTTTTTTCACAAATTTTACTGGCACTTTCAGCATACATCACAAAATCCTTGAGAGTTGTAACAAATCTTCTTTGATGTTTATTTCCACAGGGGAATTTAAATTAATACATAAATTCATACAGTGTCACATTGTCATCGCTGCTGGTGGAAGGATGTCTCTCCTATTACCCCTGATAGTGCCTACTTGTCAGCCAGCATCCACTTCACTTTCAGGTTGTATTGGCATTGTTGGTTCAAACATGTACACAGTGTACAAAAAGTTTGACAAGGTTGTAATTTCCTCTCACAGTGTAACCAGATTGATTGTCTCCCCAGCAGTATATTCAGGTAATCCAAAACGTCATATGCACTTCCGAGTGAAAGTACTTCCATTCTAGGTTTGCTACTGTTCAACATTACCCAAAACATGGAATTTTCCTTAGGGTTAATTTACAGATACGAAATCCTGATGAAATTATCAGTATTTTTTATTTCAAAACAACACTGGGGGACATAGTCATGATTAGTTCATTTGTAGATAGTATCAAGGATTGTGTGGTCCAGACTGCTGCCTGTCATATTGTTGAGTTGCACATACAAACACATGGTCATAATATACCGGTAGTCGAAATTGTACAGTCCACACTCCTTTCTGCAGAAAATTCTTATGGATGTGGAAAGTCACAACATACAAACAAACACATGGTCTTGATATAGTCGGAATTGTATAGTTGACACCACTTGTTGCAGAAATGTCTAATGGATGGGGAAAGTCACAACATACAAACAAATACATGGTCTTTATATAGTCGGAATTGTATAGTTGACACCACTTGTTGCAGAAATGTCTAATGGATGTGGAAATCAAACACACAAACAAACTCATGGTCTTGATATAGTCGGAATTGTATAGTTGACACCACTTGTTGCAGAAATGTCTAATGGATGTGGAAAGTCACAACATACAAACAAATACATGGTCTTTATATAGTCAGAATTGTATAGTTAACACCACTTGTTGCAGAAATGTCTAATGGATGTGGAAATCAAACACACAAACAAACTCATGGTCTTGATATAGTCGGAATTGTATAGTTGACACCACTTGTTGCAGAAATGTCTAATGGATGTGGAAATCAAACACACAAACAAACTCATGGTCTTGATATAGTCGGAATTGTATAGTTGACACCACTTGTTGCAGAAATGTCTAATGGATGTGGAAAGTCACAACATACAAACAAATACATGGTCTTTATATAGTCAGAATTGTATAGTTAACACCACTTGTTGCAGAAATGTCTAATGGATGTGGAAATCAAACACACAAACAAACTCATGGTCTTGATATAGTCGGAATTGTATAGTTGACACCACTTGTTGCAGAAATGTCTAATGGATGGAAATCAAACACACAAACAAACTCATGGTCTTGATATATGAATTGTATAGTTGACACCACTTGTTGCAGAAATGTCTAATGGATGTGGAAAGTCACAACATACAAACAAATACATGGTCTTTATATAGTCAGAATTGTATAGTTAACACCACTTGTTGCAGAAATGTCTAATGGATGTGGAAATCAAACACACAAACAAACTCATGGTCTTTATATAGTCGGAATTGTATAGTTGACACCACTTGTTGCAGAAATGTCTAATGGATGTGGAAAGTCACAACATACAAATAAACACATGGTCTTTATATAGTCAGAATTGTATAGTTGACACCACTTGTTGCAGAAATGTCTAATGGATGTGGAAAGTCACAACATACAAATAAACACATGGTCTTTATATAGTCGGAATTGTATAGTTGACACCACTTGTTGCAGAAATGTCTTATGGATGTGGAAAGTCACAACATACAAATAAACACATGGTCTTTATATAGTCGGAATTGTATAGTTGACACCACTTGTTGCAGAAATGTCTAATGGATGTGGAAAGTCACAACATACAAATAAACACATGGTCTTTATATAGTCGGAATTGTATAGTTGACACCACTTGTTGCAGAAATGTCTTATGGATGTGGAAAGTCACAACATACAAACAAACACATGGTCTTTATATAGTCGGAATTGTATAGTTAACACCACTTGTTGCAGAAATGTCTAATGGATGTGGAAAGTCACAACATACAAATAAACACATGGTCTTTATATAGTCGGAATTGTATAGTTGACACCACTTGTTGCAGAAATGTCTAATGGATGTGGAAATCAAACACACAAACAAACTCATGGTCTTTATATAGTCGGAATTGTATAGTTGACACCACTTGTTGCAGAAATGTCTAATGGATGTGGAAATCAAACACACAAACAAACTCATGGTCTTTATATAGTCGGAATTGTATAGTTGACACCACTTGTTGCAGAAATGTCTAATGGATGTGGAAATCAAACACACAAACAAACACATGGTCTTTATATAGTCGGAATTGTATAGTTGACACCACTTGTTGCAGAAATGTCTAATGGATGTGGAAATCAAACACACAAACAAACTCATGGTCTTTATATAGTCGGAATTGTATAGTTGACACCACTTGTTGCAGAAATGTCTAATGGATGTGGAAATCAAACACACAAACAAACTCATGGTCTTTATATAGTCAGAATTGTATAGTTGACACCACTTGTTGCAGAAATGTCTAATGGATGTGGAAATCAAACACACAAACAAACTCATGGTCTTTATATAGTCGGAATTGTATAGTTGACACCACTTGTTGCAGAAATGTCTTATGGATGTGGAAATCAAACACACAAACATGGTCATAACATAGTCAGAACTGTACAATCAACATTACTTTTTGCAAACATTTCTTGAGGATGTGGAAATGGTTTTGTCTCTTTTATTTAGAATTTGAATAATATTTGGGATTGCATACCTTGATGAAACTTGGGTTTCGTCCATATACTGGCGTAGGTTTCAGTGTTGGGGTTCTTTCATAAGTGAAAAATGTTATATGAAGTAAAATTGACATTGGATATTTTCAAAGTAAAAGGCTGCTAAATAGACTGAACAATCTTCAAATTAACTTTACTTAGTACATGTATCTCACATCATTATTATTTTGAACTATTGACAAGTTGGATTGCAAACTGTCAGGTCATTGAACATAAGGGACCATTCATAATTTATGGCCAGGGGGGGGCTTGATGATTTTCATGGAGAAGCAATGACCCCCTCTAAAATTTATGTACAAAGTAGGTGAACCCGCCCTGCATGTCATGTACAAAATCGATGACCCCCACCCCACCCTCCCCGTTATATTTAAGCATAACTTTTAATATTTCTATGTACAAAATTGCTGACACCCCTAGTACATATGTACAAAATTGCTGACCCCCCTGCCTCCCAAGAACAAAATGGGTGACCCCCCTTAAACTCTTCATCACCCCCACTAGGCATAAATTATTTACGGTCCCTAAAATCAAAGTGTTTATTTATTGCTAACACTACAGGTAACATCTCAAGTAAAAGTATGAGACTTGTGATAGTTTATCATACAATAATAGATCATAGACTCTGTATTGGTAATAAGTAAACCTACTGTCGAAAGTTGCTGAAAGTTGCCAGTTTTGACCTTAGGTATCTTGTAATGTATTCCATTTTCTGAAGAAATCATCTACACAAGTAAAGGTGATGTTTCCAGTAGTTGTATTATATTTGTGCTGCATGTATCATGGACTGGGGATCCACACCATGCCAGCCTTGATTTGCCTACTGGGTGGCCTGGACTAACATTACATGTCATGGCCACACTGTTGAAATCAGATTAAGAAATGGTGGCACAGCTATGACTGGAGTGAGTTTGTTTAGTTTTACTCCACTTTTATCATTATTTCAGCAATATCATGGCTAGAAACACCAGAAATAGGCTTCACACACTGTACCCATGTGGAGTGTGTGGCCATTCAGTGTTGATCATGAACTTCTTGCTTCTAGACATAACTTGAAACTCATTACTATTAGCAGTCACAACATTTTTCCTAACCAGAGATTTAAATATTGTCTGTCAATTAGCCATTACCATGACACACAGTTTGTAAAAATATGCAATACTCGACCATCCCCTGATTGCTGCAGATATATGTCTCACACCAATATAACTGGAAAAGATTGATTAACTACTTTTTAAATCTCAGCATATTTTCTGTATCACTGCATAAAATATGACTGACGTGAAATGTTGCATTTGACCGCTTTCTGTATATTCATGGCTTTGGCAGTGGGAACTTATCACTCCAATCCAGCACTCCTGCAGAGTGTCAGTTCCAATCCTGCATTGGACCGAAAAGTACTAGAATCTGAAAAAATGTAATCCCAAATATAACATCCAGTGGTTTTCACCCTCTCCATTTTCTGGGGAGAACAGGAAGATAGTCCGCTCAGTGTGTTGACATTTCTGTAGTGTATACGCCCATCGAGTTGAAAGTGACACAAAGCGCAATATTTTGAATGAAGCATTGTTGTGATTATGTATTGGAAACTGACAACTGCACTTCAAGTTTTGATGATTATCCAACTGCGTAAACAACACGGATATATCGATACATTTAATGAGAAATTCTATTTGACAAGAGGAAGGGCAAAGATTGTTTACTGTTGTTGTGCGGATTTTGTGAACCCCTCCACGCATGGTCATCTGTGTTCGTTACACTTTTCGAAGAACTGCTATGAAAGAGACCTAACCTCTGGTGAAATATGGATACGAACAGGCAAAACTTTATAA